AGATACGATTCCCGCGCAATTTGATGCAGACATCTTGAGCTTGTGTCATTTTGTCCTTGAACGTATATAAATATCAAACGCACTTACATTGTGAGAATATTAGATATATTTATTAATTGAATATTTTTGAATTAAAAGCACTGCTTTCATTGAGGTCTCTTAGTATTAATTAGTGTCTCTATGGAGTCAATAGATGGCGTTACGTGTATTTTAATTCTTAATGTTTGTAATTTGTTACATACGATATCTATTTTTTTTTTCACGCAGACGCAGTTAAAGCTAGCGTTTTATATATGTTTGAACAAGCGAAAGAACGATCATAATTTATTTGCTCAAGCGTTGAACAAATTTTATCACTTCTTTATATTTCCCGAGGATATACTTATATTTTTCTCTTAACAATATAATCCAGTGAATAGCTATTCCGACGGCAATAAACTGTGCCGCCGTTTCCTCCGAAAATCAAGATGGAAGACGCTTTTGACAAGATGGCTGTCACAAATTGCGCGCGAAAGATTTGAGCGTAACGAAATAGTAACCGTTGATATTTCAATGTCACCGTTATTTTAACTAGTTAAATTCAAGTTATTTAACGTATTTCAATACAAAAACAACACTAAGACATTGAAATTCGTAAACAACAAAATACATTTATTAAAAACCTTTTACAACTTATTAAAATTATATATTATTGTTAACATAATTTCAATTTATCACATATTTTTTACTAAATAATTGAAAACATGAAATATCGTTATCGGCTCCATGTACGGAAAGACGTTCCATTGTCTACTTGCGTTATACGAAATATAATTTTCAAAAACAACTACCTTGATCAAAGATTAAAAAACCACCGTTATTTTCGTTGACAAAAAAAGCGTCAACGTCCCATCTCTACCGACAATAGCCGTAAGAAATTGCCCGGGAATCGTACTGCAGTGTTGCCACACGTAAAAAATAACGAGTTGGTTTTTTATATGCCAATTACGGTTTCTTCGCTGCCAATTATCGTTTAGGGTGTTGTTTAGCATTTTTTCTCGTTGTAGAAAAATTTATAATCGTGTTTCAGGATTATCGAGTTCACATTTACTTTGATATATTTAATTATACCGTTGTAAGAATATTTTGAGGTTATTTTTCGTAATCTTATAGATTTAAGGTGTACTTTCTTTTTATTATATAACCTAAATAGGATGACTCTTATTTTGTATTAATTTTGAAGAATACAGTTTTATTTTCTTTATTATGTTTTTTATTTTTATAATGTTATAAGTGTAAAAGTCTTAACCTACAATTAGACATTAATTTAAGATACTCTAGTAGTTTTTTATATTTCTTTCATTCAAGAAATATCATAACTCAAAATCTGGACGAGTTACATAACCTCAAATCTTTGATAAAAAAAAAACAAACGTCACAAGCGAGAAAAACAAAATGGCTGGCATAAACAAAAAGGTAGAAATTGAATCATTTTACAAACCGAAAAGAATTTCATTCGATTGTAATCGAAATATTCATCTTTTATTAAAATCTCAAATCTGATAAATTAATGAGGTAGAGTGTCCTCGAATCGATGTTAAAGCGAACCGCTCTTCAAATATTATCTGTGCTTAAGGTAAATTTATTTCTTTTCTTTCATTAAACGAATTCTAAAAAGTATTAACTTTTATGTCTTTTCAATTGGGAATTTATTCTATTTTTATCTATACTATGTTATAAAGAGGAAAGATTTGTATTTTCGTAATTCGATTCACATAAAAACTACTGGGCCGATTTTAAAAATTGTTTCACCATTACAAAGGTAATTTATCTGTGAGTAACATAGGCTATATTATCTTACTTCTTACTAATATTATAAATGCGAAAGTTTAGATGGATGGATGTTTGTTAGCGTTTGTAGCCTAAACGGCTGAACGGATTTCCATGAAATTTTGCACAGGTTTAGAACATAGTCTGGAAGAACACATAGATTACTTGTTATCCCGGGAATAGTTACGGTTCCTGTGGTATTCATTAATTTAGTTTTTTAATGTTTACTCGATCATTCTGCAACGGTTCAACATATCTTATTGAAATTTGGCACAGATATAAAACAAAGTCTGGAGTACACATGGGATAAGCTTCATCCCCGAGAATTATACGCTTCCCGAGGGATAAATAGCTTTTTGTAATTCATATAGTTTGTATGTTTTCTAATACCACGCAGACGAAGTCGCGGGCAACAGCTCGTATTGTTATATTTTCACGAGAGTAATAATGACATTTTATGCGACGAGACGATGGGGACATAAACCATAGAGTGTTAAGAATGAATGTGGATGGCTACAAAGATAGAGGAAGACCGAAGTATGGATTATGTGAAAGAGGATATGCTTAAGAAAGGAGTGGATTCAGATATGACTGATAGAGATGTATGGAAGAGCAACACATACTGTGCACAATTAAATAGATCATAAAGCATTGACCGTACTTAGGCTTACGTCATTGTACGGTTAGCACATTCATGTAATTACGAGAATTATGGTTGTGGTAACTTTATTGATTACGTCCGGGTTTATGCTCGCCTGGTACTTGTTAATTGGTGTCATAATACTGTCCACCCGATTTCCCACTGCAAATGTTATTAATATTATAAATGTGAAAGTTTAGATGGATGTTTGTTAGAGTTTGTAGCCTAAACGGCTCAATGGATTTCTACGAAATTTGGTATAGATGTAGAGGATATTCTGGAAGAACACATAGGGTACTTACTTTTGTTTTCTTTTTAATTCCACGCGGACTGAGTCGCGGGCGAAAGCTAGTCTATACATATAATAAAATGGAGTGTCTGTTTGTAATATCAAAAGAAATACAGATTTCGGGATGTTTCATTGCTGATAACAAAAATGGCATTTAAAAAAAATGTCTGTATGTCTGTCTGCAAGCCGCGTTTGTTCCGGGTAACCTCCGAAACGGCTAGGCCAAATTCTACCGGACTTTTACTGAACGGTAGCTGACAGACGGGCATATTATAGACTACTTTTTATCTTAATATTGTGTGGACGAAGTCGCGGGCAACCGCTAGTTTGAAGATAAACTGCTGAACGGATCTCGATGAATGTCATATGCAGAGGATAGTCTGGAACACATAGACTACTTTGGATATCGGAATGAGTTATGGTTCTCGTGGGATATATTAAATTTTTTTTTATCTTATTCGATAATTCAACGGTTCATATCTTAATAAAAGGTACAAATATAAAACTAAATCTGGAGTAACACATGAGATACGATTCATGCCAGAAAAATGTCAAGTTCCCGCGAGATGTAATTTTTTTTTGTTTTACACGTGTTTAAAGTCGCGTCGATAAAGTCGCTGGCAACAGTGGTAGAGTTTTAACAGTGGCAGAGCCCGCTTTAACATCTTCGCACGAATGGGCCGGCTCGCCCGGTGTAACACCACGACCACACAGAAAACAGGCGTGAAGGGGAAGCAATTCCGCGTTTCGTCTGATGAGTGTGGTGCCGGAGGCCTAATTTTAGTCCCTTTCCATTTCCACCCTTTTCTTAAGAGGAGAGGATGGAAAGGAAAGTGGATTTGACGGTGGAGGAGACGCATAGGAAGGGGAAATGTCCTCTTCAGGTGCGTCTCCTCCGTCAATTAGGGCAACGCATCTGCAATTGCGGATGTTTATGTGCAGTCGCTTTCCATTTCGGTGGATTCAGGCCGCTTGCTCGTTTGCCACCTTATGTTATAAAAAAAAACAGTTAAATAATTCTTATTTGTTTATGTACCTAATAAGGTTTCAACAACATGAAGCTGGACTATAAATAGATTATCCTTATCCTACACAATCTCTTGTTTACTGAAATGTAAATAATTAAATTATCTCTATCTATACTTCTAAATTATTATAATAAAGCGTAAACACACACTTCTTTGTTGCCTAAGATGTCAGCATTTACACCATATTTTTGAATAATCCTTTTTTAATAAAAAGCCCTACACTTACGTCACGCTTTAGGCTATATATTTTCACGCCATTAAAGGGTAAATATTTTGGATAAAAAACCTAATGTGGGAAAGAGACCATAAGTTGCTGCCAACATCAAGAAAACAAGGTTGCCATGCTTTGACATCATGTCATTTTGACATTTGCAATTGATAATTTGACAAATGTGAACAATAAAATTACATTTTTATAATTTTACACGGATGAAGTCACATGGAAACAGCTAGTGTTTTAAATATTATGTTAAATACAATTATGTTGTTAAGTTTAAAAATCTTTAGTACTTTTACTGGTATTTAGAATACTTAATAAGACAATGAGTTCTTCCAGACTATGTCTACATCTTCGAAACGGCTGGGCCGATTTCGACCGAACTGGAGGGTAGCTGACATAGACGGGCATATAATAGGCTTTTTTATTTTTATTTAGCGTAGACGAAATCGCGGGCAACAGCTAGTCTGTGATAAATTTCTTACAGTTCCGTAAAGCCGTTTAAATACACACATCAAAATATCTTTGGAAGCATAGAACGGATTATTCCCTACCGTCATCCCGCTCTGTCCTTACATGGGGACAGATGAGAATGAAAAGTTTCATCAGTCCCGCCGCTTGTGACGAGGGGACGGTTGAAACTTATTTAATTTCTTAACGGTTTCATCCGTCACCTTATGGGTGATAGTGGGACGGTTGGAACTATTTATTTCTTGTTTGTCCCCACGATGTGTAATAAAAATAAAATTTAGTATGTGAAACTTCAGTAAACTTCAGTAAACTTCAGTAAACACTAAAATCTTGTTTGCCTGCGACTTCGTCTGGGTAGAATTCAAAAATAATGAGAAATATAGCCAACATTATAATATAGCTTTTTAATGGTGAAAAAATTTTTAAAATCGCCCCAGTAGTTTTTGAGTTATTTCAATACATACAAGAAATACAAATATTTCCTCTTCTATAATATAGATAACTAAATTTCAGTCGCAATATTACAAGTAATTAATTAATAGAAAGTTTTATTAGTATCATAAATCAGTAAAAGCTAACAAAAAAAAACATTTATATAACAAATCAATTTATATTTTATCTATTCTTTGCAAAACATAATCCTCTTACGAATCCATTAGACGATAAATTACGTCTTAAGGAAGCTAATGGCTTACATTCGTACAATAGGTAAGTAAATGAATCATGTTTACTACATAACATAAATAACTTACACCAAGTAGTTATCTTTTTGTCCGGCTCGAAGGACCAATATTAATATAGCTTTTTGCCTTCTTGCTAATGTATGCTAATATAAAGAGGAAAGATTTGTATTTACGTATATTGAAATAACTCAAAAACTACTGGGCTTTTAAAAATTCTTGCAGTCTATATCTTTTATTATTTTATTTCAAGCGGAGGAAGTCGCAAGCAACAGCTAGTTTGTTGTAATATATTGCTAGATACCCCAAACATGTCAAAATAATTAATTTTATTTAAGTTAATTGCGTAATTAAATATTTATAATTTTACCAGTATTTAGTATTTTTTATAAAAGACTAACTGCTCGCGACTTCATCTGGGTGAAATTAAAAATAATAAAAATATAGCCTTTGCCACTGATAACATAGTTTGTTAATGCTGAAATTATTTTTGAAATTGTCCCAGTAGTTTTTGAGTTATTTCAATACATACAAAAATACAAATCTTTCCTCTTTATAATATCAGTATAGATAAGTAGAGATGGTGCTTATTATAATTTAGTAAAATGTTTTATTACATGTCAAAAAACGAGACGGCACGAAACTTGACAACTGATTTTTTGTTTACATTTTCTGAAATGTTGGCCTTTTTATATTATAAGTTGGCAAAGCAAAAAAGCAAACGACCTGAATTCGCCGAAATGGCGAAGCGACAGCCCATAGACAACCGCAACTGCAGCGTTGCCTACCCTTAATTAATGGAGACGCACATAAAGAGGATGTTCACCCTTCCTATGCGTCCGCAAGTCAAGTCCACTTTCCCTTCCCATTATTTCCTTTTAGGAAAATGGTGGAAAGGAAGAGGGACTAAAATTAGTCCGACTTCCTAAAAGAAGGAGGTATTCAATTCGTCTGTATGTTTTTCTATGTTACGGCATTATTCCGCTCCTAGTGGACCGATTTTGATAATTCTTTTTTTATCTACGTAATAATATGTTTCACAGGACGCTGGCGACTACGTATGTCAAATATCAGATCGTATATCACGAGACCAAGTTCATACAGTGGAGGTTTTGGTGCCACCGAGTGTACGAGCCTCACCGGAATCCCGTCACGCCGCGGCTCGACGAGGTGGCGCTGCTGTGCTGGAATGTAGAGCGTCAGGGAATCCAGTGCCCAGTGTTACATGGCATAAGATGGTGAGTGGATATAGTATACTCAAGAGCATCGGATCCGGTTCACTTAAAAAAAAGTGTGGACTGTAGATCCATAGGTCGCTGGTTAAGATCCGGCTCGAAGGACCACAGTCTCTGTTTATTAAATGAAAGCAGAGTTTTATATTTTAGATATTTATGTCAATTAATGAAATTAAATACCACGACAAGTTAGATACAGTCAAATTCGTAGTTTAGACAAGAAAAAATGTTACGGGAATAGTTACGCTTCCCGTGGCATTCACTAATTTAGTTTTTTAATGTTTACTCTATCATTCTGCAACGGTTCAACATATCTCATTGAAATTTGGCACAGACATAAAACAAAGTCTGGAGTACACATGGGATAAGGTTCATCTCCGAGAAATGTGAGGTTCCCGAGGGATACGTAGCTTTTTATTATTTTATATAGTTCGTATGTTTTCTAATACCACGCGGACGAAGTCGCGGGCAACAGCTACTAATTAATAATATATAGACATGTTACATTCAGTTTTCTTGTAAACTTTAAATAGCATGGAATGAAAGACTTTTTTTAAACGTTTTCATTGCTCTTGAGTGTACAATGTGTTTTTTTTTTAAATCGTTTCTTTAGATCGACAGCTACAATACAAATATCAACGAGAGCAACCTGCGGCTAGCAGATGGACCCCAACTCCAATTATCTCGGCTTGAGAGGTCTCACAGTGGTCGATATGCCTGTACTGTGGACAACGGAGTTGGACCTCCCGTCGTCACTGAGTTCCAATTACAAGTATTATGTAAGTGTTATCTAAAATATAGCCTAATAGCTTTCGCCCGCGACTCCGTCCGCGCGGATATAAAAAACAAATGCAAATACTCTATGTCTTCCAGACTATCCTCTACATCTATACCAAATTTTATCGAAAACCGTTCATCCGTTTAGGCTACAAACTCTAATAAACATTCATCTAAACTTTCACATTTATAATATTAGTTTAATGTTACTCGATTTTAGCTTTTTAATGGTGAAATAATTTTTCAAATTGTCCCAGTAGTTTTTGAGTTATTACAATATAAACAAAAATACAAAGCTTTCCGCTTTATAATATTAGTGTAAGTAATCTAGCTATCTACACGAAATATTTTTATTTTTGTCTATATTGAAATAACTCAAAAACTACTGGGATTTTAAAAATTCTTTTACCATTAAAAAGCAACATTATCAGTGTAATGTTAGTGTAGATATCTATATCTATACTAATTTAATAAAGCATGAAAACACTACTTTTAGGCGTGGATGTCAATCACAGTTATTTTTGAATAATTCTTCCCTTAATAAAAAACCCTTCACTTACGAGACGCTTTAGGTTTTTCACGCTATTAAAATTAGGGAGTAAATAATTTGGTAAAAATCATGCGACAAAGGGACAAAAACTACAAGCTGACATCAAGGAGACAAGGTTGCCATGGTAACGGTAATTACCCAATAACCTTCGTTTCCATTTGTGCATTTGAATTTTGACATTTCACAAATGTGAATAAAATGAAGTTGGTATAACTTTTGGGAACAGGTCGTTTACGATATTCAGTGTTAGGTTAATGATAGTTGATCTAGTATCTACCTACCCTATTTCTGTATATATTGTAATAACTTAAAAACTACTGGGACAATTTGAAAAATTCTTTCACCTAATAGTATAAATGCGAAAGTTTAGATGGATGTTTGTTAGAGTTTGTATCCTAAATGGCTGAACGGATCTCGATGAAATTTGGTTTAGATGTAGAGGATAGTCTGGAAGAACACATAGGCTACTCACTTTTGTTTTTTTTAATACCACGCGATCGGGGTCGCAAGCGAAAGCTAGTATAATCATATTAAAAGATAATAAATTAAGATATTTTTACCAGATAAATGACATGTTAACCAAAGTAAAATTGAACTGAGCAGCAATTTATTTCGTCGGTAAAGGTGTGAAAGGGTCGAGGGTCACTTACAAGGGTAAATTGCTGACCCTTTTGTGTACAAAATCTAGATAATTGCTGTAAAATATATAGCAAGTAATTACACTATTAAAACCCTAAAACTAACATTATGTTTTTGAAAATAATAAAACACAAAACAAATCTCATATTTAGATAGTAGATTTATTAATTTAAAACAACATAAAAAAACGGAATTTTTTTAACCTATTTCAACGAATGAGGTGTCAACACTGATCTGTATAAATAGATAGGACGCGATTAGATTTGGTATAGATGTAGAGTAAAGTCTGGAAGAACACGTAAGCGACTCGCTTTTGATTTTTATATTCCTAACGTACGGAGTCGCGGTCAAAAGCTAGTGATATTTAAAATGGAAACTTTAGCAACGTTACGCGTTTACATAAAGAGTATATTAATGTTTTTCTAGTGATATATTAACAAGATTATATTATACTAGCTTTCGCTCGCAAACCCGTCCGCTTGGAATTAAAAAAAAAAACAAAAAAAGTAGCCTATGTGTTCCAGACTATCCTCTACATCTATACCAAATTTCATCGAAATCCGTTCAGCAGTTTAGGCTACAAACTCTATCTAAACTTTCGCATTTATAATATAAACATGATAGTATGATTTAATTCCGACGCCATAATTCTCACTTCCCGTCTTATTCGTCACAATTTAATTTGCCGACGTAAATCCAATTTCCGTCTCCAACAAACACTCGAGCGACGACTTGATGAGATTAAAACCTCCCCCAGGTGCTTGTCAACACTTTTACATATATTCTAAGAACGAACACTTTAGTCTGTCACACAACTGTTCAGTTCGCTTTGATTCTAGATTTCGCCCACGAGGAATAAAATAACTACGTCGTAGTCTTTGACTCCAAAAATCAGTCAAAAAAAAGGGACCCACCTGCAAGCATTATCTTTCGAATAAAAAAAGAATTATCAAAATCGGTCCACTAGCGGCGGAGTTATGCCGA